TGTTAGAAAAACCACACGCACATAGCTTTCATTAGTGTTTGGTGTATTAATTTGGGTTTGACGGGTGTCATGCTATCGGAAGATACAGTGGGCGGTGTGTGTATAATAAGACTGTGAAATATATCAGAATACACTGACAGGCAGGAAAATATTTTTGCATTGTTCTGGCCTCTATAAAAGCAAAAACTGACAAAACTATACATTTGTGTGTTTGTTAGTTTTAATAATACCTTCACTTTAGTTTACAAGCAATTGTAAAATAGCAAAATATTTTAATATATGGTTTAATACCAGTGTTGGGCCACTAATAAGCAGAACTACAATACGGTGTCAAAGTTTGTATCTACTGTGAAATGCTGTGAAGTGAAGATGTTTTCAAAAGTATTTTGTTTTTGTCCATCTATTCACTTTATACGAAAAACCCAAATTGAGTCAGTCGTGGTGTAAACAGCAGCAGTTCTCTTGGTTACCCTTCCACACAGTTTTTGAAGGTGTTGGCAGGCAGAACTCACCACAGTTCTTTGTGGGTTTAGGCTGTCTCAGTGTCTTATCTCTTCATGTAATCCCAGACTCACTCCATGCTTGCTTTCCAACCCTTGTTTTACTTTCAGTAGCTGCAGCTGTCCTCACAAAACCCAAACTGCTTCATGCAGTATGCAATACTACTCGGTCATACTGCTTCATCATGACATTGCGTCTGAAGCTTTGACTGTTTTGCTGGTTTATCTGCTGCAGTCGGTTGTTCAGTTGTACAACAGAAGCCGTCGCCTGTCTGTGTGCTCTTGGTGGCTCAAGCTTGTTTCTACTAATGCAACTCTGTGGTTTATTTGATGTGTCTATGATATCTATTGCTGTGCAAAGGACTGTGGGACAGAAGGTCAAGAAAAACATGCTGGCTTGCACATGCACTGCAAAATGAGACTGTAGAAGGACATCTTAGTCTTTTTGGAACATGCATTTGATAAACTGTGTATGGGGACAAACTCAATCATTTTCTGGCGTTATGTGGTGGTCAGTATAGGTACAGGAGTGCAGCCCATCAGTTCCCTTTATGACTCTCACGTACAACCCACGTCGTCGACATGATGCGCCGACATCAACATGTGGCCCAGCGCTGACACTGAGCACTCTAACCCGGCTAACTGGTCTGTGATCACTTCCCCAAAGTTCCTGGCAGGATGTGACTGACAGCTTATTAGACCAACAGAAGAGCAGCTGAGTGAATCCCTGCCCCTAAAACATTTGCCCAAGTTAACCTGAAAGAAAAACAAAACAGAACAGAGAAGCACAAAGGACACAACTAGACTTTGTGAACCAAAAATAGGAAATGAAATGCAGAAGACAACGCATGGGAACAGTGATTATGGATGAAACTCACATTTCTTTGCATACCACAGTGTGGTGCTTTGTCATTTTTTAGCAAGTAGGAACCTGGTGTTTCTGTTAATGTGGGATGGCCCCACATATCAGACTAAACCAAGCCAGAAGCCCAGCAGCTGCATGGAGGCAGCAGCGCTCAGCATCAGGCCTCTCAGTCTGCTGCTGCCATCAACGCTTTCTTCTTTAAACACAAGCCTGTCCTCTAGCTGATTACTGACAGCATCTAATTATCCAAAAGTAAAGACATCTCGCTGCAAATTCCTTCACTCCGTTACACACACACACCACAGTGGTGTAAGAATTTACACCCGGAGGCTACATTTCCTGTCCTGCTTGTCTGGCAGCTGCTTCCCAGCCAGCAGCGCGCTGATGGTGCTGCTGTGAGTCCGGGTGAGCAGCGGCCTCAGCTCAGCAAAATACGGAACTTTGACACAGCAGCAACATTTCACAAGACGCGACAGGGAAGAGACGCGGACGCGCCATGAAGTCTCCCCGCGCCAGACTTCTTCACCACAAACTTGAACAAAGTGCGCAGGAGCGCAGGACGGAGGCTCCGTGCGTGGAGCGCGTCCTGCGTGTAGCTACCCTGTGGGTGAGCAGACAGCCCGTACACTAGCAGGCCCACGTCTCAACAACTTTCTGCCTCCACATCGAGTGTGGTGACGTCAGGACTCGTCGAGAGAAACTTTTCAAAGTGAAGCTTCAGTCTGACCTGGCAGCGATCCTCTCCGGCGCACGACCCTGGACCGCTGAAATCCCGAATTGTTGACGGTTTTGCAATTACTGCCCGACAGAAATCAAGTTGTCTGCAAGGGGAAAGGCCACAAAGCGACTTTGTCTCGTTCCCCTCCCTATCCGCTCTGCTCTAACTCCACCCTGGCTGCAGCGGGGCGGCGCGCCTCGGAGCGGCGCTATGCAGGCGGGTCTGGACAACTGCAAGAATCCAACATGGATGTTGGTGCCAGGTACACATGCATCATGACCAGTCCTGTCGAGGAGACAGGTCAGAACGGTAGCAGAGGGCTGGAGCTCATACAAGGGCGTAAAAACCCACCAGCCCACCGTCCTGTTCCCTCCTGACCGGTAGATTGGTGCAGTGTTCCTCTCAAGTCGTTTCCTGGATGACAGCTGAGATCAGAACACGTTGTTCTGAGGTGTGTTGGTGTCACAGTTTGACGGACCACATAGTTCTCAGAGTTTCCCTTACAGAGGTCACACAGAGGGTTTGACCTCGACAGTCACTGATGTCCAGAATATGAAGCAACAGGAAACACTTCCTCTGTCATGTGTACAAATGTAGAAGGTCTTTAAAGAGCAGATGTGGGAGGAGAAGCCTCCATCAGTCTGCTGAGTTATCTACATCCTCATCCAGTGACAGCCAGCAGTGCATGGATCATTTCTGTCAGTTGGTACATATATTAGTATAAGTGTAAAAAAAGGAATCCTGTGAAAAATGTCTTGTCAAAGGATTCCTTTTATTTATTTTCTGGGCATTATGAAACAATAAAGTTTATTTCAGGATTTATTCCACAGCCCTATTTATTTGTTTGTAAAGGATTCCCACAGAATTGATCTCTACATTTAGACTATTTTAAGGTTTGAATGCAGATCACCAACTATTTAAATTCTCAAAAAAAAAAAGCTTTAAATTGCAGAAATGCTGCCACCATGTGGAACCCCTCAGGTGTGGGATGAAGCTGAAACACTCCTTGACGACCAGGAGGCCTGAGCCGAAGGTCAAGGTTAAGGTGTCTTCATTTATCTCCACTGGAAGAAATTTGTTTTTGGGGGGTTTATGAGTCTAACAGTTGATTTGTCAGAGTGTCTCCTAACACTCGACCCAGCATGGATCTATTACACACGTTGCACACTCTACGCTCACATATTTATACAAAACAACAACACTACAAGATTTACTTTTTATTTTAAATCCTGTTCTGTAGCCACTTTATATTTAAAAAATGTAAATCCTTAAACCCAGTTGAAAATGCTGCTTCACAGTTTCTGTACATATTGTCTAGACCAGGGGTGTCCAATCCTGGTCCTCGAGGGCCACAGTCCTGCATGTCTTAGATGTTTCCCTCTTCCAACACACCTGATTCAAATGATCAGCTCATCATCAAGCTCTGCAGAAGCCTGATAACATCCTGATCATTTGAATCAGGTGTGCTGGAAGAGGGACACATCTAAGACATGCAGGACTGTGGCCCTCGAGGACCAGGACTGGACACCCCTATACCTACGCAGGCCCTTTGTTTTTGCGTGGCCTTTTTTTCTTTTGCATCGTTACCATGTGTCGTGTATGCAGGCTGGATCAGGTACACAACACGTTACTACGCACTGTACTATGTGCAACTGTGTGTTTAACAAATACATTTGATTTGATCTGAGTTTAAATCAACACATTGAGTATACTACTTAAAATACTCAGATAACTACGAGGAGGAGAGGAGGTCATGAAAACACAATGATTTTTCCAAAAGTATCTCATTGGGCTTGAAGTGGAAGCAGTGACTGCTTATGGCAATTTACAGTCGTCCTCAAATGTATTCACACCCTTCCATTAAAGAAAAGGAAAATTCACAATAGTCACTCAAATAACTATAAACTGAAAAAGTAATAATAAATAAAAAATTGCTAAATTATAATTGAGTGGAAAAAAGACATTGCTTTTGAATTGTGCTTGAAAAGAATAATTTAAAAAAACAAAAACAAAACTGTCCTGGACCAATTAGAGCACTTTGCTGATGAGCAGTGGCCAAAATCTAAATAGCTGTCAACAGGTGCAGAAGTCTGAGAGTTACAGAAAACACTTGATTGCAGTGATTGTCTCAAAGGGTTGTTCAACAAAATATTAGTTTACGGGTCCCATCACGCTTGTTTGCTTGTTTTTTTGTTTTTTTTTTACTTATTTCTGTTGAACTCCAATTCAAAACCAATGTGATGATTTTCAACATATATATATATATTTTTAATTCATTATGACTTTTGTCAATTTCAACTTATTTCAGTGACAGCTGTTTTTTTTCGTTCTTTAATGGGAGGGTATGAATACATTTGAGGATGACTGTATGTACTAGTTTGTATAATTCACCCATTTTTGGGTTTGTGCTTCACTATGTTTGGTTGCTATTTGAGTGGTGGTCTAAATAAAATAAAGTGTCTTATTCTACAGTGATGATGAACTTCCTGGGTCAAAGGGCCTGTTCACCAGAGAGCCTCCTCAGCACTAAATCATCACTATTGTAAGCAGTAATGAGCGTGGTCACATCGGCCCGAGTGCATGAGGACACGGGGTTTCTGTGAGGAACAGAACTACATATCATGCCCTGGGTTGATGTATTCCTGTGGCTATAAAACATGAAGCTCAGTGTTTCAGATGTAAGAAATGTGTAGATGGCAAGCTGAAATCTCACCTGCAAAATTTGTAAGTCCTGACAATTGTACTCTTTACTGTGTCACTTGCCTTGTAAATACTTTTATCAATTCATATCAAAATGTATTATGGTTAAGCGACTTAAAAACTCAGTATAGTGCAAAGACTTAACAGTGACAATAAATGATTAATGTAGTTAGTTTATGGTTTCATCATAACTGGAGGGAAAAAATCATTCACTACACATGTTCAGCATCATTTATTCTGAATCTACATTTATACAAACTGTTGAGATAAAATTCATCTGAGACATCATTACATTCATATCTACATGGCATAAATAATCTTACAGCTTGTACTCTACATACCATCGACATCGGAGAAGATTTCGTGAACTCTGAGACAGGCTGTACAAACATATACACCACACATGTAATATTGCAGTCATGCCAGGTCTGCTTGCAGCGACACTCTGCGTTTGAAGTTGGTGTGAGCAGGGTCTGACACCAAAGAAACCAAGTGAGCGGCTCAGGTGCTAGAGCAGCTTGTCCACATATTGCAAGGTTGGTGGTTTGATCCCTTGGTGTCTTGGGCTAAATATTGAACCCAAAGTTGCTCCCAATGGCATTATAGCACCTCGCATTGTATGAGTGGGTAAATGAGAAACATTGTAAAGCGCCTGTGGAACCGAGGGGTTAAAAGGCCCCACATAAATGTAGAGCATTTTGCCATTTACTGTACAATTTAAAAATATTACCTGTACATTATTGGATGAAAAGCTTTGTCTACAGTTTACAGTTCAAACGTACTTATTGTAAGGCTTCTTAAGAATGAAATCACCTTTACATCAACTATCCCAACTTCACCGATCCTGTGTGCGAGTCTACAAGCCAGTCCAACCATCAACAGGAACATAATAAAGACTGCTAGTTTAAGGCTAACGTTTTCTGCCTGAGCTCTGTTTCAGCATTTTTGTTGTGCTGCTGGCTGCAGCTACTGTCAACTCAAAATAATGTCAGTGTTAAACAGAAAAGCAACCACAGTGAGACAACAGAAACTGCTCACTTCTACAAGTCGTACCTAGAATTTCCTTTCAATGTCCTGTAACTTCACCAAATAAAGCCCTTTGATGTTAAGCCTTCAGTACAAATTACTGCATTACATATTTGTGATGTTAATGGACAAGACGGAGACCCTGGTACCTTGCGGTTAACATTCACACAAGCTGTGACACGGATTCATATGAATGTGGGACAGAGGTGACAGTCAAAGTGATTGGAACAATTGCTGCCCAGTAATGTGGTTTCAAACTCTTGCACAAGGTATCGATAAATTATAGTCCGAAATAATAAATGCTTTAAACAGGACCAATCTGTGATATTTTTTGTTTGGTCCCAAAACTATCCACCATCTCTTGTGCACTCTGTTTAGCGTCTGTAGAACCAGAAACTAGAATGAAGCTGCATTTAACTCGTAGGACGGGTCAGGACCCTAAGATGCTTTCCTTGGCATATATTATTTTATACAGAGATGAAATCTTTACCATGACGTAGGTCATATTTACACTCTGTTTCCAGTTGATTCATCCCTCCTGAACTGAGGCAGCTCTGCAGTAAAGCCAGGCTTCATCAAGGTACGAACATCCAGTCTATAGAATCTTTAGATGTTTTAGCAAAGTAGTGTTTAAACATGGTCATTTTATATTACGCAAAGAGGTGTTTCATAAATAGTCGGCCATCATTCTCAGAAATTAGGCAGACAAAATATTGGAAACATCACCAATATAACAATACAATTCAACAGCAGCACACAACACCGTTCAGACTGACTGGACTCTTGAGGGGAGGATTTACTGCAGGGTGGTCGTATTAAGACTGTTTTGACCTGGTGGACAGTGTGTGTAGGCTGCATCTCCTGCTGGTGGCTGGAGGAGTGTGTTTCCACTGATTTAAGCCTATTTGTACTCAGAGCAAATTATACTTGCAGTGTTAACACTTCTCAGACACTGCAGTGATATGTAGTCACATTTTCCCACTGAAGGACTGTGTATCTCAGCGCATGACGAGTTTAACATAACTACTTTGTTTTCTTTTGGTTGTATACTGCTGTTGGCTACTGCTGAGCAACATTACGCCAACGTTGTCAATTCTCAACTAACATGATCACTGTTTTTAGTTTGTTTTCAATATGTTGAACTTAATACATTTGGTGGCAATGAAAATTCAAATACTCTAATTACAACACTGCAATGTGGTTTGGAAAAATAGTCAGCTGCAATTGATAGTTCCATCCGAAAAGATTAATCATGTACTTGGCAAAAACAAAAAACAACAACAACAAAAAAAAGTGAGAACTGTCCAGTTCAAGCAGCCGCAGTCCAAGGTGAGTCCTAAAACTACTTTTTTTGTCTGACCAATGGTTAAAAAGATTTTCCTTTTACACATTTCAAAAAGGTAGGTTTCTGTTTTTCTCCCACAATTAAGATGCTGAAGCTGGATAAGGTTTGGTAATTTCGAATGACAAATACGTAAACTGATTAAACTACTATCAAACATTTGCTGCTGCTGTTCACCTCCTCGAACTGCTTTTATAGGTGTTAAAAACCAAGTAGACTGGAAGGTTAAGTAAAAATGGGGAAAACTTCACTGTGCCAAACCGATCAATAGTTGTACACTTCATAGATAGTTATAAAGATCGATCAATAGTTGTACACTTCATAGACGGTTATAAAGAAGATTCTGAAGCCTTCTTGACAGAGCATTGTTTTGCATCTGGAGTCCAGCTGTTCCTGATGTGTGGTCACAAGGTCACATGATGACAATACAGAGTCCAAATCTATTCATAGAAAACTGAGGTAATAAACACAAACAGTAGAGTGGGGGTTCAAGCTCCACCACATGCTGTGTTTATGTGGCAGCAGCACTATTTTGATACAGACACACAGCTGACACCCACTCCCTTTTGTTCATTTATCTGCAGGAGGCCTGAAGCCACATGGAATCGTGTCCATTTCCTCTCACTGACACTGGCTGGCAGCTGCAGACTTCATATCTGCAGCACTCAGCGCTAATGTCTGCCTGCACTCCTCCTAAATGTAACTGTTCTTTTTGCAGAAATGCAAAATCAAAACCAAGGCTTGCTAAAAGAAACAAATTACTGTAAAGAAAATAGATTCTGCTGAAATACGGAATTTCCTGTCTGACTGCATAATGTGTTGATGATCAGGGGATGGCAGGATGGTACAGGCAGGACACAGTCCTCCACTGAACACTTCAATAACACACTGCTCCAATCTAATCAAGTTTAACGTGATAATCTAGAGGTGACACTGCCTTCTCTTGCTAGCCATCTGACCTCCAGAGTTCGGTAGTTGTTCCCAAACTGTTGCACCTTGATAACTCTGAGAACTAAGTGGAGTGCTCTCAGTTACTGATGGCGGCGTCAGGGCCAGCAGTGGCTGCAGGGATGCGAGGCATCTTCTTGGCTGGACTGGGGATGTGCTGCAAGAAGAAAACAGATCATTGACATAAATCGATTGGTAGTTTAGAAAGTGTTTGTTTCAGACCTGAACAGTCCAGACCTCCAACATCATATGGGACTACAAAAGGGAGAAGCGGTATTCAGCTCTGTGCAGCATATATCTGAGAAAACTCCCAAAATACAAAGTTAGCTGTCCAACTCTGAGTTCTTTTAGATCAGGGCTTCATTCCTTTCTCTCTGCCGCTACAGTGCAGTGACATGAAAGGCATTGGCACTGTGCATTTATTCTACTGTATATTCTGTCTTATTCTATTTTTTCTTTTGTTACAAGTCATTATGCATTTGTGCTTTATATTTTCTTTATATCGTGTCTTATGTATGTTTTACACCTGGTCTTGATGCTTTCATGTTTTATCTAAAACCTTTTTTTTTTTTTTTTTTCCTTCTTTTTCCTTCTTGTACTGCAATTTGTTGAAAGGTGCTCGACAAACAGCCATCAATTCACAAGAAAATCCTGGAATACACTGTGTCACAGCATTCTGACTCACTCCAGTCCTAATTCACAGCTGTGTGCCATCCAGAATTCAGAGTGACCTTTATTTTTCCCAAACTGCAGTGAAAATCCTTTATGGCAAACAGGCTTATATCTTCGAGGCTTTTCTTTTCCTCGTTGCTTTTTATTTTAGTTTTCCCCATATTCTGATCTACACCCATTTGATTTTACATTTGATGCTCAAGAGCATAATCCTTGGGCTTTTTGGCAAGTTTCTGAATGGGAAACACCTGCAGTAAGCATCTCACTACCAGTAACATAAAGGGAATCACCAACACCTTTCCACATCCACAACGAATATCATCAGAAGGGAAAGAATACTGCATAAAGTGTCTCCACAGACAGCTGGTTGAGGCCTGAAAAATGTCCTACAAGTTTGAAAGCCTTTGCTAGACATTCCAGGCTGCATTATCTGCTACTGGCATAGCACCCCTATCTCCTATTGAATTGTTGGTGAGGGTGCTGCATTGTAGGTATGTAGGTAATGTAAAGGCACATGACAGTCAGTGAATGCACTAAATATTTGTGTTAAACAAAGTACTGTACTGATGGAATTAGCGCTGTAGATATATCCTTGGAGCTATTTAGAGCAGTGGCGTCTCTGGCATGAAAAGTTGAGTGGGGCACAATGCACTCTACAGCTATAAGCAGCACCTGATTCTTCTCTGATACATACATACAGTACAACCTGAGATTGAGCTGTGTTAAATGAGTCACACAAAATGGCAAAACCGACACACTAAATGCAACATCACATCACCGTAATTCAAGAATAAAACCTCTTTGTATGCATAGCATTAAAAATAAAGGATCGCTAAAAAAGGTCACTCACCAGTGTTGTTGTGGCAAAGTGTTAAATGAAGTTGTTATCACAGAATCTACTTTTTTTTTTTTTGTCTTGTTCGCTCACAATGAAACCAACCTAGCTTGCTGCAGGTCTGCCACTGCACATAATCTGCTGCTTTTTGTGTTTTTTTGTTCTCTTACTTACTTGTAATATGTCGCTCTTTGCCCACCTAATTGCCCCTCGGGGATAAATAACGTTTTTTCTGATTCTGTGTACGACCATCCGCCAAACCTGTACACGTTTATTACGTATTTACATATCTCATTCCAATATTTTAATTGGATGACTTTGGCTTGGGAGCACAATAACGATGCCCCACGGCTGTCAACAGAGAGCAGTTTTGGACATGTGCACAATGATTTCAGCAGCTCATCACCCAAACAAATGCTTATGGGTTGGCCCCATTCTCTGGTGGAAGAGAATTTCGGCTACTTGTCAGCATTCTGCGGGCAAAGCCTTTGGATTATGAATAAATGTCTATAACAAAATCATCTTGGTGACATAATTGGTCTTTTTAGAGTATTATTATTCTTGAATAAATATTTTTTATAGATTATTACTCGATAAAAGCCAGACTTTTTTCCACTTAATTATTTTAAGCCAGCATACAGCTCCACAGCGACACCTGGTGGGGCCAGGCCACACTGGCCCCAAATGTAGAGATGACACTAGTTCAGAGTACAGGCAATTCCACCCATCTTCAGTGTTCTGTTTTTTTATATAAAAATGCTGGACTTGTTTCTCTACATGGACCTCCACATGTACTCCAAGTCAACATCAGGGTCTGCCAGAAACTGGTCAAACACTACATTTACAGATATTAAACCTGTGAACAAACGTCTTTCATCCACATTCAAAGGAGCAAATTGACTGACGACATCTTTTTGCATCCTGTACCTCAGTGGCAGTGCTGGAGCGAACAAGCTCTGGCTCCGCTGGCAGGTCATCCTCCATAGGTCTACGGGCGTATTCCCTGCGGTGTTTGTCATCCACTCGTGTCAAGTACCACGTCCCTGGAAACAAATCTTCCACTGAGCCTCGAGGGACGTAGCTGGCTATATGGACAGATTGAAAAAAATGATCACAGGGTAAGCAAGCAGAGAGACAAGCATGTTGTTGTTAAAGGTCCCAGACTACAGCCCTTTGAACAAGTTGTGCAGTTCTCACAGAACGTATATTTCAGGGTTCAGACTACGGTTCATTTTTGTTCAGTCCATCTACCACTACACTGTCCTGTCTAATCAAAAGTAAAAGAAGTAAAAAAAAAAAAAAAAGAGATGGTCAATCAATTTTGTGTTAAGATTGATAAACATGTTTAGCTCCTTTTCCTATTTTGGATTAACATTTACAGACTTGTTACTACCCTCAAACAACTTACATGTGTTCAGAGAAAATAAGCACTAACTGGAGATTTAATAAAAGTTTCACTCCCTGTCAAAATATAACAATTAACCCTTAGAAGCAGGAATGAGCAGCTGTGAAAGCAGGGTCATACCCAAGTGGTGTGTCTCCTCTCTCAGCTTCATATTCTCAGAGAAGACAGCAGGGGAAACCTTCTGCCTTGAGTCCAGTCTAGCTTTCAGGTCGCTCAGGCTGGATACAAGTTTGTCCAGACTAGATCCTGACACAAACAATCAACAAATCACACAGAGAAATACAATTTAATTCTACAATTTTACAATGACTACACACTCTCATTTTATCTGCAACACACTACTGAAATGAAAAGAGTCTTTCCTACCAGGGGTGTGGTCTTGTGTGACTCTGACAGAATACAGAGTAGCAGCAAATCCTGAACCATAGGAGAAAACTCCAACCCTCTGTCCTGCTATCTGTGAAGATGTGTGTCTACAACACAGAAACAACAAAGATTATCTTTACAGACAACACTGAGACTCAACTGTTTCAGGCCATTTCAATCTGCCTGAGAATTAACATGTAATCTATATCTGGTTATGTCATCTTTTCTTTTCTCTCTTTATGTTCTCTTGGGGTCCTGAAGAGTAGGAATTTTACAACCCAAAAGTAGTTATTGCTGAAAAATGACATGCAATTTCCCTTTTGTGTTAGGCTGTAGTCAATTGCTTGTTTCTACTTAAAGTCTTTACCAAAAGTGGAAATACGTCATTCAATATATTGTTGTATAGAGCTGTTTTACTGACGTAATAGTTTTTCCAGGGAGGTTAACAGTGGCTTTGGCTTCGAGTCAAAGGATTCGAGTGTTTGAATTGAATAATAGTTTTGGGATGAATTAATGGAAGAAAGACAAAACTCAGAAACAGAGACATACTGTGCAATAAGTGATGCCAGGCAGCCATAGACAGAGGGAGTGTACATGTTTCCGTTCTGGTTTGAGATCAGCAGGGATGGCTTGGTCTTCCTCTCAAACAGATCTGCGCTGGCCTTCATGAAGGCCTTCTCCACATCGCGGTCAAAATAGGTCTCTTCTGGCTGCACATCTCTGCCAACCAAACACACACTTGATGAGCAACAGAATCACTGCTATGTGTTGCTTAGGGTTAGGGTTTTTTTTTTAAAAATCTTTTACTAGTCCTGTTAGAGTAGAACTTTAGTCAAGTCAGTAGAAGTACCTGAAAGCGTCAAGGCCTGTGAAGGGTCCTGTCTCAGTGTTGGGGCTGGGGTGGCTCAGGAAGTCATTCAGCATCAGTCTAGCCAGTGACTTCTGTACCAGCTTGCAGTAAGGAGAATGGAATACTAAAAAGCCAAAGTCCTCCAGGGTGAAGCGCTTCTCTGAACCGTCTGTCACAAAAAGAATGATAAAACAATATGAGCCTAGAAAACAGTCTTCTGTATTAAATGACTGTCACTTTCTTTTTTTGCTCTAAAGAATGGCTACCACACTTGACTCCATTTCATAGACACAGTTGCAAAGTGCAGTGAGAGCAGCTGTCACCAAACACTTTGACTTGGCCTGTTCCAACTGCATCCAACACTATTTGGTGGCACTACTTTTCAGACCACTGTAACATGGGCACATGAGGGTAAAGGGCTCATCTTACTGTATTTAGAGTAGTAGAGATAGACAGGAAAGGGGGGAGAAGAATGGGGAGAGACCTGCAGCAAAGGGTCGTGAGCGTGAGTGGAACCCACGACCGCTGCATCGGGGAACTCTAGCCCCCGTTTATGGGTCGCCTGCTCAACTAGGTGAGCTAAAGGGACGCCCAAGAGCTCATCTTATTAAACTATTTCATGCTCATTGAACTTGGGTAAACTTCTTAGCCCAGCAAGCAGGCAACATCCTAATTCCTCTTAACTAATTAGGCTATTATCCAACTAGGTCCCCCATCTTACATTCACAAGCATGGCAGCAAGAGCAGCGTTCCAACAGAATGGCATTTTGACCATCAAATGTTAGGAGCTTAAGCCTTGGTTCAAAATGATTCAATGCACTGGATTAAATAAAAAGACAGGGGTGCTATATTTAGGCCCTGACTCGTGAGTACAGTATGTGAAATGCTGTGTTGTTTTATTGGCATTCCAGAATATGGTGAGGCAGGCATACAGACACAGGGAGAGGGTCTGGGAAGGTACACTGACTCAGAACATTGGCAGGTTACAGCATTTCATGCAGGTGTCAAAAGGCAGTGAGGGGATAGTATGGAAATACAGACAGTGATGAGATTAAAGAGTCAAAAAAACTAGAGTATAGGACAGCGGTCTTCAACTTTTTTTGCACCACGGACCAGTTTTAAGCAAGAAAATTTTCTACAGACAGGTCATGACCAAAAAAATTATTGTTTTAACTATTAAGAAGTGTCATAAACAAATACAATTACTTTTTATTGCTAAATGTGTGTTTACTTTTTATTCTGTCTCTCCCACTTTTCAAAGAAGCTCTCCTGAGATGTTTGTTGTTTTACTCATTTCGGCAGTGGTTACTGTACTGTGCCACTGTGAGGGGTATACCTGAATAGAGCTATTAGGAATATTAGCATAAAAGTGACCTATGTCTGAGTGACAGAATGACATCACTTTAAAAGACTGATGTTAGTTCAGTTAGGTTCATCAACTTGAAAGGAGAGTGCTATTATTTATTTATTTTTTTTAAGGATTTGTTTTTTGGCCTTTTTGCCTTTATTACATAGGGCAGTCAAAAGAGAGACAGGAAAGTGGGGGAGGAGAACGGGGGAAGGGGTTGCAGCAAAGGGCCATGAGTAAGATTTGAACCCATGGCCGCTGCATCAGAGACTATAGCTCCTGTACATGGGTCGTCAGCTCAACCAGGTGAGCTAAAGCGGCAGTCCACACAGTGCTCTTATTGAATGAAAATGACATGACATGGAAGTCATTGTTGACCAAACGTGGTTTAATGTAGGAGACAGAGATAGAAAAGAGCTGATTTATGCTCACAACGTTGTATTTTCACTAAATTGAAGAGGAATATAAAGTGACCCAACAGCTGTGTGGTTCCAAATGGGAACATATCCCTGAGCAGCAGACCCAGCTCAATTCCTGGCCTGTCAGATTATCTGCTGCATGTCACTTCCTGTTCTCTCTCCTACATACATTGCATCTAAATGTAGATTAATATAAAAACAAGCTATTGTGAAACACTTACGTACTGACGGATCATTTTTAACTCACCTCTTTGCCATTGTGCATGGATCTTGTTGCGATACACAGAGTAGCAGCGGTCCAAGGCACTCAGGTAGCACTCTATGGACATCTTGCCGTCCACCACAGGGTACTCTGACACCATGTCTGGCTTGTAGAAGTCATATGCATGTTGCATGTGGGTTCCCCGTAGACCTGAATTTTTCAAACAAATTTTCAAATGCAATTGTTAAAAAAAAAGACTACATTTTGTTTTAAGCTCCCCTAAAAGTACTGCTGCTAATGGGCTTTCCCAGAATGACTGAAGTAGTTTCTGCTATTTAGATGTAAAGTTCAGCACCTAATCCACATATTTAAAAAAAAAAAAAACTTCAGAACCAGAAAAAAGGAAACAAATAATAAACACAGAACAAAACAGACACAGGGAGGCTGAGTCCCATAGTCAGGTGTGAAAAGACTACCAGTTGAGGAGGTAAAAAAAAAAACAACAAATAAACACTGCTTTGGAAAAGAAGTTTGGACCTCAAGATCAGCTGAACAATAGCTGGGCCTTATCACAAAGTCACTCAGGAATGCTGCCCGACAAACCAAGCACAACAAACACAAAGTTATTAGGTTAACTGACCTCGTTCAAAGGCCAGAGGAGCATTAGGACCGACCAGCATGGCCACTGCACCAGCACCCCCTGTAGGCCGAGCGCTCCCTGTGGCATAGACGGCGATGTCCCCCGCCACTACCAACGCATAACGCCCTGTAGGGATTAAACACGAAAATTAGGAAAACAGCAAGATTGACTTTTAAGAAAGAATTGGCAGGATATTAGCAGAATTAACCTCACACATCATTGTTATAGACTTTCATCTTGTAGGACTGACACAAGTCATCTGTTGCAATAAGTCTGGATAACAGCTATCTCTTATAAGATACTATTTGATCAGTGAGGCCTTAACAGTTAATAAAAAGAAACAGGTTGCCTCACTGGACTGGTGACCTGTTCAGCCCCTCTACAGACCTACAGAGGATAAAGTCGTGTATAGAAAATGGATAGAAAAAGTAACACTCCACAACACAACTGAATGAGCGGTACTGTGTGGTGTGCATTATGAACCACAACAGTTAACATAACAGAGTCCAGCCTAATGTCAGTTCACCAAAATCACTGATGGAAAAAAAAAAACAAAACTTCAGTAATACCCTATTAAATATTAACAGTGTAAAATCTCTGGTGTTTGCAATCATATCGTAGTACTTTGTGTAATATTAGGACCTCTTTGTGTTGAAAGAATAAGTTTTTTAAAAATCTGCTTATTTTTTCTGTATAGTAGGCAAATAGAAAAGACTTTGTCGCAGGTACGGGACCCCCATGGACATGCATGGTAGGTTAATTGGTGATTCTAAATTGTCTGTAAGTGTTAAGTGTGTCTGGCTTGTCTGTCTGTCCCTTTGTGTTGGCCCTGTAATAGTCTGGTGACTGTCATGCTGCCTCTTGCCCAATATCAGCTGAGATGGCTCCAGCCTTCCACAAGCCTCTACACGATAAAGCAGGTAAAGATAATGGATGGGTTAAAAATATACATACAGCAGTGCTAATATTTGGATAAATGTCGTATGGCCACTTTTTCCTTAACTAGGTGCTTTTGGTTTCACCAGCTTCTGGTTTATCTTTGACTCGTCTTGACTGAATTGTTACAGTTCAACTAAATTTGCTGGCTTTTTGACTCAGACTTGTTTCTTCATCAGTCCACGGGGAGACCAGTCTGAAACCTTAAATCTAGACTGATTTAGCAATTTTGATGTGTGTTTGGAGTCATTGTCTTGTTGAAACATCCAACTGCAGCTAAGATGCTGATGATTTTAGGTTTTCCTGATGAATCAGGATGTAATCCTCCTCCTGCATTATTCCATTGATTTATCTTTTATGTTATTTTTTGGCTTTATTTCACCAAAACAGCCCCAAAGCATCATACTACCAATTAGTTGAGCCACATGAAATTAACTTACCCCATTTATCTAATAAAAATGGCAATCATTCTGTGATTCCAGTATCGCAAATATTGGGATTTGTAATTCTTCTTTGGGTTATATCATTGCAAAACTACATTTGTGTGGGTTTGAAGAGGTCATCTCTGACACTTGAAAATTGAGACAGGCTTTCAATATTGCATACACTTACTGATTTATTGACCAAAGGCAAAAAAACCCAAAAAAACAAAGCAACTGAAAAGACATGAACACACATTAACACAAGCTAGGTTACTTACCATCCCATGAGCTGGACTCCACCCAGTTAACAGCATTGAAGAGTGCAGCTGTGCCTCCATAGCAAGCATTTGTGGTGTCAACGCCCTCCACATCTGTATTGCCAGAGTCTTCAAAAAGCTGCATAATGACTGTCTTGACAGATTTGGACTTGTCAATGATGGTCTCAGTGCCGACCTCCAGTCGACCAATGCTGTCATAGGACAAGGAGTTCCTCTCCATCAGCCTCTGGACCACAGTCAGGCACAGAGAATTGATGTCCTCACGGTCCGAGCAGAAGCCCATGCGGGCTTGGCCCAGGCCCACGGTGTATTTACCAGCCGATACACTGTCGAACTGCTCCAGTTCTGTCTGATCCACATACTGGGATGGGAAGTACACTTCCATGGCAATGACACCCACATCTTTGGGCCATGGTCCTAAGCAACTAATCGGGGCTGAGCCAGGCATCCTGAACAGGTTGAGAAGAGGTTTCCCATTCAGCATTTCATCAGCTAGACAGATATGTGGCAAGTCTTAAAGTGCATCAATCATGAAAAGTCAACAAGCAATTAATCAGGCTACATCTTCTGACTCCTAATGATGGAACCATTCAATATGACAGAAAACAGACATAGCAACACAACTAGCCAGCAGCTCCCAAAACTTAACAACTGCAATAACATGGCTGAGTTGGTCAGAGAGCATCATACCTACTCTGAAGAATGCCAACTATTATTTACATGACTGAGCACCAACCATGACAGGAGAAAAATCTGAAGGCACAATACCAACATGCGAACTGGGTTTCTACCAGTGGACGGGTTTAAGAGGCTACAGTTCGATAACTTACCAGTAAATTAGAACCAACCTAATAACACTGTAGCTTCAACGCAATGGCAGACTTTCAGTAACATTAGAAATATGTGGTTGTTCCTCGGTTAGCTTTGCAATGCTACATCTAACGTTACTCAGCTATCGTGCAGTTAGCATCTGACAAGGTTACTGGAACACTGACCAGCTAGGTAGCATGCTAGCCGAGATAGCACTGATATGACACTACAGCATTGAGGTAATATTACCTGTTTGTTTTACCAAGCTAACAAAACGCTTGTCTTGCTACATATGGCATCGCTAACAAAAAGAAAAAAAATAAGACTACAAACAAAGCCGCTTAGGCTAGCTAATTAAAACTGTATAAGCAGGATATTTGCAGGGCTAATGTTGGCTTAGGAGGGCAAAGTTTGACAGCCGTGTGTAGCAGCGGCGTGCTGTGGTGTTGGCCTCTGCCAGGATGGACACAGCTTCACAACAGAGTTGTGTTGAAGATAGGGACAGATAAGGACAGAGAAGAACAAAACTAGGTGAAAGGGCGACGGAATTTCCTGGAACGTAAGGAGTTCATCACTGGCCACTTTTGATCACGCTGTCGGTCAGTTAAGGATGACCAGACCAGATCAGGTCTGTTGCACAAAAAATACATATACGACCCAGTTTTTTTTTAATGTTTTGTTTTTAAACGTAGCTCGCTGGACAAAGTTCCCATTCAGGACACCGAGTCTAACGGATTTTAATACGGGCTACAATTTTCTGTCCGGAACAAAATAGCTGACGGACCCGTTTCGTATCCGACATCCAGCTCATGGGGCCCCAACTGACCTACAGCACTTCAGCTGGCTCGTGTCTTCAGCTACACATATTGCACCTACCATGTCATAAAGGTGGCAGCTAATGAAGACTCCATAGCTCGGATTTAATGTTAACAGTTCACGTAAACACAAGGAGTAGCAGACTTTTGTTGACTATTAAAACACTTGGACTTATCTTGTTTGTAAATGACACAAGCGCAGAGGTTTTAAGTTGTGCTTTCTCTAAGTATAACCACAGGAAGCTGCAGACAGTATTCAGAGCTTCTCACCTGTGCGTGAAGTGTCCTCCAGTGACAACAAACGTTTTCCTCCGATAGTGTTCGCGTCTTGCTGTCACTAGCCCAGCAGAGCTGTATTTATATTTGTCGACGACAGGCTAGTGTATCCTCTGCTTTCCAGCACCTGGCCTCCTGTCCAATCACAGCTCACACGCGTCATGCGGCGCTGCAAAGCCCCGCCTGCTCCTGGCCAATCGGAGGCTCGGAATCGCAACCATGCGCAAAAGCCTTTTTGGCCGTCCAATGGTGTGACGTGTACGATGTCTGGTGAGAGCGAATGAGCCAATCAACCTGTAGAAGTAACGTCTGGCGCGTTAACACATTAGTGGGCAGCGCTCGTACTTCGGAGCAGCATGTCCATGGCAACCGGTGGTTGATGCGCTCACTCTGCCGTGTTGCTGTTCAGCTTTTAAATTATTTCAGGTGTTGAAACTAAATGCTGATTTCCTTCCACATGGACGCCCGCTGCTTGGTAAAGCTTAACCTTCCAGTTTCTGCATCTGCAGCTGCATTTATTAAAAGAAATGATCTACTTTGGGGTTACATTTGTGTACGTGTATTATTTTATCTGCCTGTGCCCTCTATTATCACCAGTCCACTTTTTCACTGCTGAAATAAAATGACTTCGTGTGGAACCCTAAATAGTATAGCCCATAGTTGCAAAATGCATCATTTCTACATTTTTTATATAGAACCCATCCATAAATTATGTAAATTACAGTCCAGGTTCCAAATATGAACGAGGATATTAAACAAACGAAACACATAGAACCTAAACACTAAAGACTAATAAAGAACCGCCTATAATCAGTAAATGTCATGACACTATGAACTGCAATTATTTGGTTAGAAAAAACATAAAAGTTTCAGTGAGACATACTTTTACTATTTAAACAGGCATTAAGAGTATATGTTAAGAGCATGTGTCTTCAATTAAATAGACCTTAAACATGCTTATAGTGAAAGGCCATTGAATTAGTCACAAAGTTATAACTTAGTTGCTCTCTGGCGTTGATGCTGTGAACTTTCATTCAACTGACCTGCACTGATAAATGTATGACCATCTTTCAAGTGGATTTTGGCTGCTGGACATTAACAGGACACTGTGAAAGAGCTTCAAGGACATCTCACAGACAACAGGGTTTAAAAAGAAAAAACAAAATAGTTTATATTGTAGTGGTCCAATTCTAGCATGAACATAACATTAAATTTAAAAAAAAAACAAAAAAAAACCAGACTCTCAAGAGGTCTTAATTCATGTAGAGAAAACAATAATTATGCAATTTTTTAAACAAATTTTAACCTGTTAAAACTGTACCATAAAAACCAACAAATAATTTCAACAATCAGCATTATGTCTAAGAGCCCTTGGTCTTTGCCCAATCAAAACAGACAACACATTTGTGATATGAACATGTCTCTTTCTTTCCTCCCACAAATTCTTGAGGATGTATGTAAAGTCAAAGTCGTTTAATGGTGAACATACTGTTTGTAAAAACACTCCTGTACTATTTTGAACACATGTTGTAAAATGAACTGAGAGTCTTACTCCTTAAACAGGCAAAACTAAAACGTTGTGAAACCAAACCCAAGAATTGAACTTTTCTGTCTCTTTCCAATGAATCTGTTCCTCTTCCGTTGTCCTGCCATGTGGTGTGGTGGCTGCTACCTCTTAGTGAACAGGATTCCCAGAGTTTCTCTCCCACAGTAGCAACAGCTGGCTGCCTGCTTGGGGCTCTAACTCCTACATGAGACAGAAAGATGGTGGAACATTTAGAATGCAGTCCTTTATCAGCTATTTGCTTTCTAACAGATTTCTATTTGTGCTAATTATGCTGCACTTGAAAATAATAGCTGTCAGCACAAATAAAATATGCATAGCACAACATTTTGATGATTTATATGATGTTCACTGTAAAGTAATGTTGCTGTTGCATTGTTGGTACATAAATGTTAGACCACAGCTCTGCCTGAAATCATCCCCTTACATACACAGTTCACTATACAGCAGACTTTCACTACTAAGCAGCAAATTAGGATTTCAATCATGCATTCCTTTGGACAAAATACAATACACGCTACAGGCAGTACTCCATGATAACAGAACCGTATGTATCAACCAACCCAAGAACCGTTCCAATAACTTTTAATAAATTGTTTTGTTGTTTATTAAAGGAGGTTTAAAGCAGTGTTACAGCGGCCATCTTGCCATAGGTCTGACATTTTCATTTACACCCTGACTGCTAATGGCATTTACATTGTTTTTGCATTCTTCCCATACTACGCAGGTATTTCTACTAGTTTTCAATAAAGAAGTAATGAAATATATTGCTGCATCCTGAGTGGACGTTTCCGAAGCGTGATAGAAATGTCCATATACTTGGATTGACATGTTTCTCGGTCAACATTTTCAAGTATTTTACTTGTTTTGTTCTCCAACGCCACATTTGGGAGTAGCTCTACTTCTCTGTCCGTTCAAATAAATGACCCTCACGACATTATCACTGAAGTAATTCATGCCATTTGTTGTGTTTTTTCCAGGATTCTGATTGGCTAGCATGCTTCTTGTTACACTGCCCCCTATAGGTTTGGCATGCTAATAGCAGCTCATAAGGACGCGTTTATGCGAGTTTGTGTACACAAAGATTTTCTGAAAACAATCTGGTGTGAACAATGTTATTTCTGAGAACATAGATCCATTTTGAAAATACCGGGCTATGTGTAAACGTGGCCTCAGTGTGAACACTTTGCCTGGGTGCCTCTCCTGTCTTTGTGGTTTGTATTCTCTGTATCTCCTGTTAGCAGCTGCGTAACAAGTTTAGAAGTTTCCTGTGTTTTGGTTAGCAGGTGCATAATTCGGTTAGGAGTCACTCACATCCTGTGTTTTCTGTGATGTGTGTTGTGATGCACTTGTTTGTTCAGTTTCTTTTGTTGCTTATGGGTGTTGCTGCTGTGTTTAGGTTTGGCTAAGGAATTTAGTTGTTTTGTTTAGCTAGTTTCATAACTCTGGTAGTCTTTGTTTGGTTTTATTCAGTTCTTGGATTTAGCAAGGCTCGCTAGCTCTGTTTTCTTTGTGTTATCACCGTTTTGTCAATTTTGTTACTAAGCAAAAAATTGCTTTACCCAACCAATAACACTTGTTACCCCCAGTCAATCCTAGACAACTGGGTCGTAACGCTGGGATTCACGTCTGGACCCTGAGTGGGCCACTTCAGAATGCTAATATTGTTTCCTGTTCACCACTACTTGACCACATTGGCTGTAAGTCTCACATCACTGCCTTTGCTGGGCGGTCCAACGCTGCCCAAGGAGAAGTTTTTCTACACACTGCGCAATGTTTTTATCCACAATCTTAATGTCCTGCCATTTTCTCATGATGACGAGGTTGCCTGGCCCATCGGCTGAAAACCAAATCATTGCATTCCCACCATGTTTGACTGTGAAAATGGCGCTCTTGGGGTCGAATACTTTCGCCTGTTTTCCTCCAAACCAAATCCACATCCTTGTGTTCACACAACTCCACTTTCATCTCATCTAACTAAAGAATTGATGACCAAAAGCTTTCTTCTTTGTCCAGGCTTGCAAGCTTTTGTGTGTGTGTCTTGGAGAAGTGGAGTCCTCCTTACTCGGCATCCATGGGGACCAGACTTGTGCAGAAGTTGGTCCAGAACGGCTCAGATTCATCAGGATGGTCTTGATGGTTTATGGAGATACTAAGATTCTTGTTGGCCTCTTACCCCGTCATTCTTGCTAGTGCCGTGGTTGCTTGTGGCTTCCTACCACACCGTTTTGAGATTTTTCAGCGTGGTACTTCTTTTATTTGTACAGCTTAGTAGTCTTTCCTTGTCTTCTGAGCCGCCGTAATGCTCTCTCTCAGAGATGAAAACATAATAGCAAACTCACTAAGCTCTTTGGTTGTAGCCATGACTTGCAGTTGAGCAGAAACTTACTAGAGAAGTACTGTATCAGCTGTAGAAACTGCATTTTCTCAAACATTTGCTTAATACTCAATAATTTCTCCTAATACTGAATGAGACATAATTCTAAATGCCATGTATGGGAATGAATACAATGTGACATGAGACAAACATGTTAAACTTGGGAAATTACAAATGAACTGAAATTAATATTTCAAATATTTTTTTTCCATATACTAGTATTGGCATTTTCCTATATTTCAGTTCTACTTTACTGTTGTTATTTCAGCCATCACCTGTTGACTGTGTTCTCTCATCCACTGGTAGCAGGATAACATGACAATGATTAAAACATTCATGCTGTAGGTTTGTCAGGAATTTCCTGCATGTACCATTTAGTCAAAACAGCATCTATGACATGAAGTAAACTCTTCACCTGCCCATCCCTGCTGATCTGGACCATCTTGTTGTTGTTCCATAAGTTGAGGATGTGTTGGGTGCACTGGAAGGAAAGACTCTCTTTGTGGATCCACTCAACACTGAACACCCCTCCTAGTCCCATGAAGCCCCAGTCCTGGCCGTTCTCCTGAGTGATGACTGACGTCATATGGGCATAGCCCTATGAAAAATACATCAGTTTTATTTTTTGTTTCTTGAAAAATTCTGGCACTTATGATCATGGATTGCATGCAGCGTAATGTCGGTTTTCTAGAATCTTTTTTTTTTTTTTTTTATTATCTGTCAGTGTTACCTGGAAGTGTCCAGAGCCCTGAACAGAGAAGATGAGGATGACGAGGCTGTTCTCCAGGAAAGCCTTCGTAAGTTTGGTCTCGTTGCTTGGCGTAGTGGACCAGATACCCTTCAGCTGAGAAATTTCTAAGTTCCTGCTGTTACTGCTCTTCATTATGAAGTATCGGACTGATGAAAAGACCAGGCCAGGAGATACTGGATTTATGATCTGCTGGGAAGAATTATGAGGAAACAAATAACAGAGTTTAAATGACAAACAATCCTCTCATTGAATTTCGCTTAATCGTCTACTAATGAATAAGTAACTACTAATACCAATTATGTAAATGTAATCAGGATGACATGCACCTGCTACAAATGAGATGTTCTAAATCAAGTGTTAAATGAAGTT